GGAAAACTAAGAAACAATCCCAATTACAATTGCATCAAAAAGTAAACTAAAATACCTAGGAATGAATTTAACTATGAATGTAAAAGACCTGTACTTGGAAAATTGTAAGCCACTGAATAAGAAATTAAAGAAGATACAAATAAGTGGAAGTATCTACTATGTTCATGAGTAGGAAGACTAACATCATTAGTATGTCCATACTATCCAAAGCAATCCCTATCAATAGCATATTTCACAGAATTAGAACAAATATTTCAAAAATTTGTATGGAACCACAAAAGACCACAAATAGCCATAGCAATCTTGAGAAATAAGAACAAAGTTGGAGGAATCGTGCTATCCGATATCAAACTATACTACAAGGCCACAGTAATCAAAACAGGATGGTACTGGCATAAGAACAGACATATGACCCTGGCTGGTGTAGCTCAGTGGATTGAGCACGGGCCTGTGAAGCAAAGGGTTGCTGGTTCGATTCCCAGTCAGGGCACATGCCTGGGGTGTGGGCCAGGTCCCCAGTAGGGGACACATGAGAGGCAACCACACATTGATGTTTCTCTCCTACTCTTTCTCCTTCCCGTCCCCTCTCTCTAAAAAATAAATAAATAAAACATTAAGAAAAAAAAAAAAAAAGAACAGACATATGGAATAGAATAGAAAGCCAAGAAATAAATCCATGACTTTACGGTCGATTAATATTTGACAAAGAAGGCAAGAACATAGAATGGAGTAAAGATAGCCTATTCAATAAATGATGTTGGAGAAATTAGGTATATGCAAAAGAATAAAACCAGACCACCTCCTTAAGGCACACACAAGACTATATTTGAAATGGATTAGACTTAAATGTAACACTCAAAACAAAATAATCCTAGAAGAAAATGTGAGCAATAAAATCTCAACTGTTTCTAATAGCAATATATTTTTTTCCTATATCTCCTCAGTGAAGGGAAACAAAAGGAAAAATGACTAGATGGGACCACATCAAACTAAAAAGTTTTTGCACAGCAAAGGAAGCCATCAACAAAATGAAAGGACAACACACTGAATGGGAGAACACAGGTGAAGGGTTAATATCCAAAATCTATGAAGAACTTAAAACACAACACCAAAAACAAACAACACAATTAAAAAAGGGGCAAAGAACCTGAACAGACACTTTTCCACAGAGGACATACAGAGGGCCAATAGACATATGAAAAGAGGTTCAATGTCACTAGTGGTCAGAGAGATGCAAATGAAAACCACAGTGAGGTATGACCTTACACCTGTCAGAATGGCCTCCATCAATAAATCAACAAGCAAGAAGTGCTGGCGAGGATGTGGAGAAAGAGAAACCCTTGTGCACTGTTGACAGGAACGCAGACTGGCGCAGCCACTGTGGAAAGTAGCATGGAGATACCGCAAAACATTAAAAATGGATCTGACTCTTGACCCAGAGATTCCACTTCTGGGAATATATCAGAAGAAACCCAACACCATGATTCAAAGACTATACATACCCCTATGTTCATTGCAGCTTTATTTATAATAGTCAAGATGTGGAAGCAATCCAAGTGCCAATTATAGATGAGTGCATTAAAAAAAGCCATGGTACATTCACACGATGGAACAATACCCAGTGGTTAAAAAAAAAAAAAAGCTTATCCTTTCCAAAACAGCCTGAAGAGTATTACAGTAAGTGATACAAGCCAGTCAGAGAAAGATAAATACTATATGACTTCACTTTTATATGGAATCTAACAAACAAAATAAATCGACAAACAAAACAGAAACACACTCAAAATTGTCAGAGGGAAAGTGTTGGGATGCTGGGTGAAAAAGGTGAAGGAATTCAGAAAAATGAAGAAGAATCCTACAGGCCAGGGTGTCAAACTCATTTTCACCGGGGGCCATATCAGCCCCACGGTTGCCTCTGAAGGGCCAAATGTAATTTTGGAACTGTATAAATGTCACTACTCCTTAACTAGGGGCAAGGGGCAAGGAGCTGGGCACTGCTGCCAGGTAGAAACAAGGTGCCGGGCTGGATGAAACAAGGTGGAGGCTGGATTTGGCCCACAGGCCTTGTGTTTGCTGCCTGCGCTGTAGATAGACAACAGTATGGTCACCACCAGAGGGAGATGGGGTTGGAGGAGGCAGGAGAGGGTCAAGAAGGTACAAATGGTGATAGAAAGAGACATGAGTTGGGTGAACACACAATACAATATACAAATGATGTAATATAGAACTGTACACCTTAAACCTATATAATTTTATTAACCAATGTCACCCTAGTAAGTTCAATGAAAGAAAATCTTAAAATAATTTCAAGTTATTTTCTCCTATAACTCAAAAAGCACTTTCAACTATGCTGATCATTAATAAAATGTGGTTTTGAAATTACCAACCATAAATATATATACCAAGTATATATATTTGATGGCATATTTTGGTGATTTTGAAATATTTATGTTTATACATGTATATATTTTTTCTGAAACACTTGAGTATAAATTTGAATAACACAGTGACTGTTGATCCCAAATATGTCAACACACATTTCCTAAGGACAAAGACTTTGTCTTACAAACCTCAGTAATCAAAATTAGGAAATATCACCTAATAAACTTCAGTCAACATTCAAATTTGGTCAATTGTACCAACAACATTTATGCCTAAGCCCCACCCGCCCCTTTAAAATTTAGTGTAAAATCAAGCATTGTATTTAGTAATGTCTTTTTTTCCTCCTTTAATCTGGAACAGTTCCTCCATCTGTTTCTTGACATTGGGATGTTTTAAAGAGTATAAACCAGTCAATCTGTAGAATGGCTTAGATTTGTTTGCCTAATTATTTCCTAAAAATTACATGCAGGCATCCATTTCTGGTGGGAATATAGCAAAAATGATGTCTCGTCCTTCTCAGCGATCCATATCAGGAGGGTATGATACCGGTTTTGTAGTCACACTGATGGTGGTAGGGACGATTTTTGTCACAGCAGTATCCCTTATTGTCCACCCATAAGAAATTCACATTTCCTAAGAAACTGAAATTTTTAAAAACACAGTCTACCACATTAAAACATTCCATATCATTATTGCATTGACAATAAAAAAACTTTCCTTCCTCCCTCCCTCCCTCCCTTTCTTCTTTATTTCCTTCTTTCCTTCGTAAGACTTAAAACTTGTTATATTATACATGGGGTTACTATTAATTACTATAATTTTTATTTGAATTACCAAATTGTCCCAAATTTGGCCAACGTGTCCCTTCAATCAGGCTCCTGTGTCCTTTTTCCTATTCCCTCTAATTCCTAGAATAGTTCCTTACATTATAGAGTAAATGATAGAAATATTTAATATTTTGACAGGGAGGTAGGTTATAAGGGGTATGCATTTTTAAGATCTCAAAAAAGTATACACTTAAAATATATGTATATGCGCATGTTCATACTCTAGCTAACAATGCTACTTCCTACTATGTTATGGGGAAAACCAAAAATAAACTCTGGGTTTTAAGCATAGCTATGCAGACATAAAAATATAGATACGTGTGGGTGTGTGTACACTCAGACAGGCTCTCTAGCTCTCGTCACTGAGAGGCCCTGATAGCAATGAGTTACCTGGAGTGAGGAAAACAACCGGCAGCCAGGTCTCAGTTTCTAAACAGCACTACCTCCTCCACTCAAACCAGGCAGGTCTGCTCAGAGAAAAGGCTAACTCCAGGGCTGGGGTGAGGAAAGTATAAGCCTCCCTTTCATTTCAAAAGAGAAGTAATTCAGTAAGTAAATACAATGAACTACACTCTTAAAAATGGTTAAAATGGTAGATTTTATGTTAAGTGCACTTTACCACAGCACAACAATGGGAACCCCACAGTAAAAGCACTCCTTTTGTCCCGAAAAGTATGAGAAACACAAATTATATCAACCAACGAGTGAGAAAACCAGTAGTGCCTGATGCAGCTTCCTTGCCATGTTCCTCAATGTGTTTATTTTAAAAATGTAGTACTGAGGCCTTGATAAATATGCCATTTACACCCAACACTTACAAACAACATGTAAAGTCCGAACTTGAATTCAAGCACAACTGACTGAATACTTACTATGTGGGCAGGACTCTGAATAAGACATAATCTTTGTCTTTTGCAAGCTGAAAATCCAATTGCTCTTATAAAATATAGAACGCTGAATTTGTGATGATGTAGATGATGCAGTTTGGCCAAGAGAAAACAAACTATGTGAAGATGTCAATCTGACTACAGCACCATAAAATGGAAAAGTGGTTTAGACTTTTTAGTGCCCTGGCTTTAAAATGCTTCATTAAGAATTCAACCTCACTTCTCAATAGTTTAAATCAAATCAGATGACACGATCATCTACATGAGCTGCTAGTAGGACAATGAGCCCATTCAGTGTAAGCTACTTTTTAGTGAGGTCACCTCAGAACAAGGTAAAAGGGAGCTGTGTTCTGGATTCTTCTAATGCTTAAAAAATTTTTTTTTAAAAACCCAGACTTTTCTCAAGTTACATCAACTATCTAACTTTTTTAGGAAAAAGCACAGAATTATTCCTAAGTACACTCTTAAAGTACAAATAAGATTTAAGCCATTTCTTACTTGATTAAAATTGTCTTTTATTTTTTGCTATCTCTTTACCCCAAGTTGAGGACACGAATACGGATGTTCAAAGATTATTAATTACACTGAAGAGGAAAGCAAAAACGCTTGAAAAATCGGGGTCGCTTTAAAACCTCTTTAAATTTTCTGGTAGAAGCGGTAAAAGAAACCACCAAATTTGTGATATGTTATATAGAATTGTACCATATTTCAAATTCTCTCAGGGACCAAAAAAATTTCAGTAGATGAAAATGTATAAAACTTGTTAGATGGTTCTGATGTTACTCAATAAAATATTTAAAAACTCATCATAATCGAACCTCCTTGAATGTTTAAAAGCCTACTACATTTAAAGTTGAAACTGAAGCACATCAAAAAACAATTCAGCATTCTTTAAAGTTCTTACCACAATCATTTCTGAAGGCTCTAATACAAGACAATCACATCCTCTTTTTCCTCCAAACTGCTTACCAAAACTATAAAAACAGAAAAACAAGTTCTTTAGCAAAGGTTATCAATGAAATATATCAATATAGGAAAGAAACACACAGCCTAAAAAACCTAGATGTTAACTAAGGAATTCTGTGCCTATCACTTTTATTAATAAAATTTTCTTAAAAATGAAACAGATATAACTGATCTCAATACAGTTGTGTGTAAAAATTCTTTAAAAATGTCTGCCTTCATCTAGTCTATAAAACTGATTATAAAAAACCCGTTAACTGCATTTGTTGAACATCTACCAATATGAGTTAAAAGTAAAAACACATCCAATATAGACTAAAGACACAATTACAGAATATTTTATAAAAGTAAATTATTATAGTATTTTGGGAGCAATATTAGACAACTATAAACAATTTTTAAAATATTCACATTTGAATAATGTAGTCACAGAAGTGATTCATTTAAAAATAGTGTTGGAGCCACTGACTGACTAGCTCTTTGGGGAAAAACTAAAACTGAATTAGTACTAAGAGAAATGGTATTTTTATATTCTCTATCTGGGAGAAAGATTTCTAAGCAAATAAAAAAAAAGCATAAATAAAGAAACAGACTCATATTTCCATGTAGAAAATTACACTAAAATTTTAAAATGGCAGGAGGGACATGCCAATCAAGATAGAGGCGTAGATAAACAGTTTCCTCCTCACACAACCACAACAAACACTACAACTAGACTACAAAACAAGTATCACCCAGAATCATCAGAAATCAAGCTGTATGGAAGCCCAGCAACCAATAAATTAAAGAAGTCACATTCATCCCAGGTAAGAGGGGTGGGGTGAGGGGACACTGAATAGGCAGTCCCACATCCACCTGTGGTGTATAAAAATTGGTAGGGATATCTTGAAGTGAAGGATTCCAGCCCCATACCTAGACCACCCAACCCAGGGTTCTAGTGCCAGGAAGAGAAGTCCCCATAACTTCTGGCTGTACAAACCAGTGGGGGTTGGGGCAGTGGAAGAAGCTCCAGGATTCTCAGGAGCCTCCTCTTAGAGGGTCTGCAAGGGACTCAGGACTTAACACAGGCTCACTCCCTCTCAGCTCCAGCATCAGGGCAGCAGCTGGAAGGGCACCAGTGGCATACCGGGGAAAAATGAAGTGTCTGGCATCAGGGCCTGGGCCGGGGACAACTCATCCTGGATAAAACTCCAGGGGCCAGACAGCAGGCATTGTCCCCTTTCTGAGGCCTTCCCAGAGTGCCAAAGAGCAGTGACACCATACTGGAGACTCCATCAACTGGGTTCACATGGGTTGGCCCACTCTGGCAAGTACCTAAGGCTCCACCCCCACCCAACTTACCAGTGTGCTTTTCTATAATAGGCCACGTTACTAAGACAGGCAGTCAAAGCAGCTTTACCTAATACACAGAAACAAACACAGGGAGGCTGCCAAAATGAGGAGACAAAGAAACATGAACAAAATGAAAGAACAGAACAAAATTCCAGAAAAAAGAACTAAACAAAATGGAGATAAGCAATCTGTCAGATACAGAGTTCAAAACACTGGGTACTAGGATGCTCAAGGAACTCAACGGGTATTCCAAGAGCATAAAAAAAGACCCAGGTAGAAATGAAGGTTACACTATGTGCAATAAAAAAAACTACAGGGAACCAATAGTGGAGTGGATAAAGCTGAGAATCAAATCAACCATTTGGAACATAAGGAAGAAAAAAAGACATTCAATCAGAACAGCAAGAAGAAAAACAGAATCCAACAAAACAAGGGTAGGCTAAGGAGTCTCTGGGACAACTTCAAACACACAAACATCCAAATCACAGGGGTATCAGAAGAAGAAGAGGAAGAGCAAGAAACTGAAAACTTATTTGAAAAAATAATGAATGCTTCCCTAATTTGGTGAAGGAAATAGACATACAAATCCAAGAAGCACACAGAGTATCAAACAAGAGGGACCCAAAGAAGACCACGCCAAGACACATCATGATTAAAAGGCCAAAGATTAAAGATAAAGAGAGACTCTTAAAAGCAGCAAGAGAAAAGCAGAGTTACCTACAAGGAGTTCCCATAAGACTGTCAGTTTACATTCAAAAGAAACTTTGCAGGCTAGAAGGGGTGGCAAGAAGTATTCAAAGTGATGATAAGCAAGGACCAATAAGCCAGATAAATTACTCTATCCAGCAATGCTCTCATTTAGAACTGAACGGTAGATAAAGTACTTCCCAGACAAGGTAAAGTTAAAGGAGTTCACCATCACCAAAGCCATTATTAACATGAAATGTTAAAGAGACTTATTTAAGAAAAAGATAAAAAATATAAACATTAAAATGGCAATAAATTCACAACCATCAACAACTGATCCCCAAAACACTGGGAATCAAAGTAAGCAAATAAGCAGAACAGAAACAGAATCACAGATATGGAGACCATCTAGAGGGTTATCAACTGCGAGGGGAAAAGGGAAGAATGGGGGAAAAGGTGCAAGGATTAAGAAGTACAAATTGGTAGGAACAGAATAGATGGGGAAATGTTAAGAGGAGTATAGAAAATGGACTAGCTAAAGAACTTACACGCATCACCCATGGACATGAACTAAGGCAGGGGATTGCTGGAGGGAATGGAGGTACCAGGTGGAGGGGAACAAAAAGGGGAAAAATTGGGACAACTGTAATAGCGTAATCAATAAAATATATATTTTTAAATGGTGGGAGGAATAGAAAATACCTTTTATTTATGTTAACATACTTAATATGTGGAGTGCATTTAAAAGTATAAACCCCCTCCCGATAGAAAGGCAACCATACATTGATGTTTCTCTGGCTCTCTCCTTCCCTTCCCCTCTAAAGATAAATAAATAAAAAAATTAAAAAAAAAAAGATTTTTGAGAAAGTGTAGTTGTTTAGACTTAAAGATATTTAAAAAAAAAAGTATAAAAGCAATCTGAAATATTATATAAATAAAAATTAATAAAATAATTTATGCAAAAATAACCAAATGAGAAGAAACCTCCATTAATAAATAATGCAAATAAAATATAAAATATCAAAAAGTAAACTTAAATATATGTCATTTACAAAAATTTATAAGTTTATTAATGAATTGGAAACAGGGCTTGAATGAAAGAAGCAACAGCATGTCAATTTTCCACAAAGTACAAACCTTGTATGTAACCTTATTTATATACAAAGATTAGTTTATGAGAAAATTCTAATCAAAATCCAAATGCAATTTTGAATATAACAAAAAAATCACTTGTTTTTCTTAAGCAATAGAACTGTATGTTTTATTTGTATTTCCCCAACTCTGACATCATCTAATTATTAGATATATTTATGTATAGATTCTAATATATAAAACAAAAACAAATTTATAAAAGTTTGCTTTTATATATGATGAAATAACACGTATTAAATTTACTCTCCAAAATGAAAACACAAAATATATAAAACAACAATTTCAAGACCCTGGAAAACAGGTAGGACTGTGCTATGCTCCCCGAGAGAATAAAAATCAAAAACCAAAATGAAACCCTGAGATGACCACTACACTATCCAATTTTACTACTTTCTGGCAGTCTCTAGACCACAATGCAAAGCAAAAGCCTAACAGAGCCTGACAATCTCAATGAAATGAAGAGACTGTTTGGTTTTGGGGTGTGGATGATGGGGAAAGATCATTAAAATTTACAGGGTAGAGAACAGAAAAAAAGGGAGGAAGGAGGAGAGAGAGACAAAGAACAAGAATGTGCATGAGCATACATATGTGAGCACACATATGTTCTTTGGTGAAATTCAGAAAGGCTTCCTTGAGTCTTTGGGTGAACACTACAAATATGTGAGGAGAGAACAATCCACTAACAACTAGAATGCAAAGACAACACAATACATGGAGCAGTGGGCAGGGTCCTCAGAAATGTGTATTCTTAGAAACTTACAAATTAGTCTTACACTAAAAAAATGCTGGACTCGCACAAATATAAAATTTAAGACTCAAAATGATCAAATGGATTTCAATGAACTAAACTGAGTGTCAGAAGCAAGCCCAATACTACCCTAATGAAATATAGCAAAAGCTGGAACCCAGCAACATCAGCTTGTGATGACCAACATCCAGTGAAACAAAACAAAAAGGTGTACCAAGAAACGGGAAAACATGATCCATGGAGAAAAACAAATCAATATACACAGACTCAGAACTGTTAGCAATGAGGAAACCAATAGAACATTAAAACAGCTATTACTGAGTATGTTCCACATGTTGAAAAAAGTACAGAAAAATATGAACAGGATAAAGAGAAAAACAAACTGAAAAAGACTGAGTTATTCTATCACATCATCCACGCACACACATAGTCTGGTCATCCCATTTTGTTGTACTGTTAAACTGCTGTATAGTTTCCCACAGCATCAACTTGATGTACTGAATATAAAGTTTCCTCTCAATTTTCCTTCTGCTAATTTTAGCATCCATTTTTGACCAGTACCTACATCTAATGTGTTATTAGGCCTATTGAAATAGGGATTTTATAATTCTATCATTTCTACTGAATTGATCAGGTAAGTACTGATCTAAAGAAACACATTTATCAACTTTTTGAGTTCTTGCAATAACAGTTTACACAAGAAAGGCAAAACAATTGCTTCAACTGTAGATGACATGATTGTATAAAGTAAATCCTATGAATTCTATTTTTTTACAAAGCTACCAGAAATAAGTGAATTTAGCAAGATTAAAGGATACAAGCTCAATATCTAAAAATCATTAATTTTACTGTATATTTTCAACAAATTATCTGAAAAACCTTTTAATACCATTTAAAATAAAATAAAAACAAATATTTAAGAGAAAAATTTACCAAAATCTATACAAGACCCCTATAAAACTACAAACTGCAGAAACACTGCAGAAAAACAAAAACAAACAACCCTACAGAGAGAAATTAATGATGATCGAAATAAAATGATATATCTTCTTTATGGGTTGTTCTACACATTCAGTGCAATCAGAAAGTTGC